GGAAGGAGAGAAATCGAATGAGGGAGAGAAATCAAGGAAGGGTGGAAAGAAGGGAAAGGAGGAGAGGAATGGAGGGAGGGGGGAACGAGGAGAGAAGTGGTGGGAGAAGGGGAGAGAAGTGGTGGGAGAAGGGGAGAGGAATGCAAGAAGAAGGAAGAGAAGTGGAGGGACGGGAGAGAAGAGAGCAGCTCTCCTCCGTCAAAGAACGAGAGAGAAATGAAGGAAAGGGAGAGAAATTGAAGAGAACGGCTCCTCGAATCAAATAGTAGAGATACGCACGCGTAGCGCCGGTGTGGGTGTTGGCGTGGATGCGCAGGCTGCTGGGGCGGTTGAAGCGCTTGCCGCACGTGCCGCAGACGTGTTTCCTCCCCAACCCTTCGCCCTCGCCCTCCTCGGGGTCCTCCATTTCCCCCTCGGCATCGGCGTCGCCGTCGGACGAGCAGGAAGAAGACGGCGCGGGGTGTGCAGGCATGCGGGAGGAGGCGATGTGCAGCAGCGAGGTGGCGCGCGGGTGGCTTTTGAGGACGTCGAAGGAGACGCTGTGCGCGGACAATGCGGGGGGCGTGGGGATCAGAGGGCTGCGCGAGGCGGGGCCGGCATGGGCACGTGCACGGGGGCGGGAATTCGAAGGCAGCGGCGGGAGGTGGTCGGGGAACATCTCGTGGATGCCGGGGAGCATCGGGCGGGAATAAGGGGTTGCGTTCGAGGTGGACGCCATTGGAGGTACTGGTCGTGTGAGCAGCTGAGAACGAAGGGATTCGAATCGGAGAGGATGAAATACAAGAAAACGCGGAGATTTGCTGGAAGCGAAGCGATGTAGCGGGTGGGGTGGCTATGTAGTTTTGGACACGAACGCTGGAATGCAGGTGCCTTGCAGGGATGAAGGGACGTCGGAAAGGAAGAGAGAATATCCGTGTTAACTGCGGATTGTGAAAATCCGTGCATCAGGCACATCATGATGCGCCGCATCGGTCGATCTGCGTCCGCGTTCAAGACATCCCGCTGGGTGCACATGACGTTGCCGTTTCACCCTTGCACCAGGCACGCCAATTGCTTTGCACGCCAAACTTATCGATGCCTATCGATTCAGGTGCGCAAATTAATCTACTCCAACTTGGACTGCAACTAACACGTGCGCACACGTGTCAGGGTGAGTCCGCCGCCACTGCCAGTGCTCCCATGGCGATGACCTAACTGTCCTCGATTGACACGGACCCGGACACACCATGGCCGACGATCCCGCGGCCTCGGGATCAGCGCGCCACCATCGGCCGCGGAAATTAAACATTAATGTACGGATACTTGTCGCTGGTCTTCATGAATCATGTCTTTTCGACGTCTAGCCGATCTATGCATCCCTGCTTCTCAGAATTTCCGTAGCCGAGAGTCGGGGCCGGGGTAAGTACATACCAACAACCCAAATCAAATTAAATGTGGAAACCCTGCAGGGATATTCAACTGAACGTGATTTTGAAGTGAAACGCCGCCCGGATCCGGCGAATCACCACAATTACACCTGTATGTATGATTCATCCGGTTGCCTTGAAACACTTGTGGGGCCGAATAAATGTACTACGTCCTACTACGTCCAAACTACGTCAACGGGATTTTCAACCCTGCTCGGCAAATGTACAATTTAGGTGCCCCGCCAAAATCAATTTTTTTTAAAAAAGGTGGGAAACGAGTAGAAACATGTCCTGCCCCCGAGTCGAACGGGGTCCTTCTGCATCACTGGGTGCGGGGGATATACGAAATGAGGGCAGATGTGCACCGCGCACCAGCAGGACTGCATATCCCTCCAACCCTACCTTGATTTAGCTGGTTGGGCTGCTGTGAAAGGAGGACATACGTACCCCCCGAAAAAGTAGAGTAAGAAATGTTCGATGTCCCACCCCCGAATCGAACGGGGCTTCTGCATAACTTGCGGAGGTGCTATGAAATGAGGGCAGATATGCACCGCGCACCGGCAGGACTTATCACCTCATTGATTGTGCCCTCGTTCATTTGGGTTGTCTGGCTGGCGTAAAGCAAGGGACACGCCTCTTTTAAAAAACATGCAACGTGCCCAGAAATGTCCCGCCCCCGAGTCGAACGGGGTCCTTCCGCATGGAAAGTTAATGCCCAATGCAGAGCAAGCAGACGTGCACCGTGCACCAGCCGGACTTTATATCCCTGTAATTGTGCGCCAACTCATCTGGGTGTCTGACTCTGGAGTCTGGGCCCTGGACCCTGGCTGTGAATGGAGTGAAATGTCGCCCAAAAAAAAGGGTTGGGAGTCATGTCCCACCCGAGTCGAACGGGTTCTTCTGCGTGACATTTGGACATGGTTCAATCACTAATCAGAGCACACGCACCAGCAGGACTCACCACCTCATTCATTTGGGTTGTCTGGCCGCCGTCAAGAAGGAGATTAAAAATGCCAGAGACGAAGACAAATTATGACCCACCCCCGACTCGAACGGAGTCCTTCTGCATGAGTCCGGTTTCCGTTATGTACTAGGGCAGACGTGCACCGCGCACCGGCAGGACTTTAAGCCATCTGATTATATTCAACCAGTATCCCTTCCGCAGAATATTGGATGAAGACAGATCATCAAATATTCAGGACATCCAGGAGCGGAGACTATTCAGCTTGAGAACCCAGAAAGGATTAAATGCCGTGGGTCGGGAATCTACGCGTCCGTTGTACTACGCCGACAGGATGCATAATACCAGGATTTATTCGCTCAGTAGAAGCTTCGGCGTGCGAGAACAAACCCATGGTTCGGCCGCAGTATAAAATTTTCACATCTCGATGCTTGCGTTAAGGAGGTTAACCTCCGCCACAAAAAGAAGAAACACCTCACTAACCAAATCTCCTGCCCCCGAGTCGAACGGAGTCCTTCTGCATGACATTTGCGAACGATACAATCGATAATCAGAGCAGACGCGCACCGCGCACCAAGAGGACTTGTTATCCATTCCAAGTGGCGTTTGTTCATCTGGGTGTCTTATCTGGCAGCCGTGAAGGGACTGGGAACATTCCGCCCGAAAAATAAATTGAGTCCGGACGAAATAATGTCCCACCCCCGAGTCGAACGGGGTCCTTCTGCATGAGTCCGTTTTTCACGATGTAACTAGAGCAGACGCGCACCGCGCACCAGCAGGACTTGAGCTATTTAATTGTACCCTCATTCATCAGGCCCACGCCTCACTGCTTCTCAGGATTTCCGTAACCCAGATCTGAGTACTATATAGTCTTCTTGAGGCCCAAGTACACAGAAACCAAACCAAACCAAATCAAATCGTGCGCAGCCCGCAGTTGAAGTCCCCGGCCGGCGTGTGGAGGGATATTCAACTGCGCTGATTCGAAGGTGAAACGCCGCGCCGTTGAAACCCACTCACTGCAAATTCGACATAGCGAGATCTCCTCTTCTCTCTGATGTGCTTGCGGGATATAAAAGAAAAGCAAGAGAATACGTCCCACCCCCGAGTCGAACGGGGAATTTCTGCATGATTACCTGCAACACCAAACGCAGAGAGAGCAGACGGGCACCGTGCACCAGCAGGACTTGATATCCCTTCACTGATACCCTCGTCCATCCATCCGAAATGGAAAGGATCCCCGCCAAAAAAGAATTCAGCACCGCCGGCCAAGTATGTCCCACCCCCGAGTCGAACGGGGTCCTTCTGCATGACCTGTATTCGTCACATAGGCAGAGCAGATGTGCAATGGGGCACCAGTAGGACTTGATATCCATTCCGTGGTACCCTCATCCATCCATCCGAAATGGAAGAAAGAATTCACCCGCCAAGCATGTCCCACCCCCGAGTCGAACGGGGTCCTTCTGCATGACTACTGCACCCATTCATGTAGGCAGAGCAGATGTGCACCGCGCACCAGAAGGACTTGATATCCCTTCAGTGGTACCCTCATCCATCCATCCGAAACAAGAAGGCATTCCCGGCAAAAAAGAATTCAACACCGCCGACCAAACATATCCCACCCCCGAGTCGAACGGGGAACTTCTGCATGACTTCATGGATTTTTCATGCAGAGCAGATGTGCACCGCGCACCAGCAGGACTTGATATCCCTTCACTGATGCCCTCGTCCATCCATCCGAAAAGAAAGGCATTCCTGCCAAAAATAATTCACGACGCCCAGCCAAGCAGCATGACCCACCCCCGAGTCGAACAGATCTTTCTGTATGACATCTGGAGTTTATGCAAGCGGAGCAGATCTGCGTCACGCACTAGCAGGACTTGGTATCCCTTCAACGGTGCTTTGATTCAGTGAGTTGCATTCAACCGGCGGGAGCACGCCGTCCGCAGATTTAGTATTTGGTGGTGCGCTAGATTATTCGAGCCAGGGATGGCAGAGGAGAGGATCACTTGATGCCTCCCACCTTGCAGGGAGTAGACATCCCCCCGCAAAACAAAATACCAATTTCAATCACTCATGTCCTGCCCCCGAATCGAGCGGGGTTCTTCTGCATGACATTTGGAAACAAATACAACCCCTAATCAGAGCAGATGTGCACCGCGCACCGGCAGGGCTTATCACCTCCTTAATCATACTCTTGCTCGGCTGGGTTGTGGGTGCTGTGAAGGGGAACTCCGAACCCCCAAAAATGCTGGAATCCAGATACATGTCCCACCCTCGAGTCGAACGGGACCATTTCATATGACCAGTCACTAGGCCAGATGTGTGCCGCGCACCAGCAGCACTTGATATACGTTCAATGAGGACTTAATTCATGTGGGTGTTTGGCCCCTGGGTGCCGTGAAGGGAGGGGCGGGCATCCCCGCCCAAAAAAGCTTGAGTGAAGCACACATGTCCCGCCCCGGGTCGAACGGGGTCCTTCTCCATGACGATTACATTCCACGGGAATCAGAGCAAACGTGCACCATGAACCACCAGCATTTATCGCCTCTTTAACTGTGCCTTAATTCATTGGTATCTGGTTGCCGTGAGGGAGGAGAGGCATTCTCCCCCCAAAAACAGAAGATCGAGAATGATGTCCTGCTCCCGAGTCGAACGGGATCCTTCTGCATCATTGGATGTGAGATATTTTAAATAAGAGCAGACGTGCACCGCGCACCAGCAGGACTTATAACCCTTCAAGGGGCCTACGATTCATGTGGTTGTGTTGAAGCCGGTGTTTCGTAGGTAGACATATCAGAACAAATTCTCTGAGCCGGGCACAGGCTAAAGGCGATAACTTGCCTGCCCTGAGAGTCATGCTTCCCCCAAAAAAACCAATATGGCAGACATTCATGTCCCACCCCCGAGTCAAACGGGGTCCTTCTGCATGAGTCCTAGAATTGTTGTATACTGTACATAACCAAAGCAGACGTGCGCCGCGCACCAGCCGGACTTGATATTCCTTCCGTTGCACCCTTATTCATCTGGGGGCCTGGGTGCTTGAAACAGCTATGTAGCGGGAACCGACTGGATTTTCACCTTTGAAAATGTTTGTAGTGTTCGAAGAGAAGTTTTCTACTCTGTGATCTTGATCGAAAATGTACGTGTTTTTGTGTCCCCTTTTAGCGCCAGCAAAGGAAGTCTTTTTCATGCCGGAGAACTTAAGTCGTCTGGGTGCCTTGGACCCGGCACATTACAGACAAGTCCGTCGGATTCTCGGAACCGGAAACGTGATAGACCGGAGCATGCAGCGAGGACAACAATCTTGCCTCATTCAGACTGATGTGGAACCTAGTGCAGCAAGGGGACTGTTGAGGTAAATCGTTCACTGTTAGGGATCCGACGAACGAAGGTTGAACACATCAAAAGACTTTTGTTCCGAGTTGGTTATGTGGAGCGGAGAAAGGTTGAGCCGCCGGGCCGCCCATTGCCGAGGCTGTCCCTGCTGGCACGTGATGGCATCACTCTCTTCCCAAACCGCAATACCACTGCGAACCTCAGGCCGCTTCATCCCTCCATTTCTATCGTCCAGGTACTCCCGGGCTTCTTGCTTGGAACCGTGGTACCTCAGCCGTGGCTCTCCCGGAAACGGCTTCCTTGCTCCTGACAGTGACGAGACTGGCTTGAGACTGGCGACCTCCAAACCTCATCTCTGGCAATGGCCATCCGCCCGCGCTCCGTTGCAGGACAGAAGAAAAAACTGACTTCCTATACTATCCTTTTGCCATGCTACGCTTGCCCCTAGTTACAGGGGCTCTTCTTCGAGTTTCAGCACTCAAACCACTACTTGAATACCCTCCATCTACCCAAGGTATCGTCCGTCGAGGTCTTTGGGTGAATCGACGACGTTACAGACTTGCTGCGAACTGAGATTCAATTCGGTGACTTGGTTTTCCGAGGATTCCCGCCGGAACACCGCCCGCAATACCGCCCGTCTCGGAGGACAACCGACAGACGCTCATGACACCAGCTCCAAGGAAGGCACATGCAGCGGAGCGTCGCCTCTCTTGGCAAGCTCCGTCTCGCGCAGATTCCCGCTTGGAATCGCGGGCATTCGCCGAAGCAATATCCCCACTTACCGTGCTGCAGTCCCCGACGACCGCCTTGCTGTTCCCGGCGGACCAAGCCTGTTTTCATGCATCCGATTCTGTTAATTACCACCACCAGGCTAACATTTGCGGCCCACGCATCCCTCTCGCTGGCTTAATCCTGTCCTGGCTCGTAACCTTTGGAACTGTTCGTGTGCCATGACTCCTCCTCGCCCGTCCGTCTTGCTCGCAATTTCCCATGATTACCCTACTACTTATTAGGGTAGTAACACTGGACATCAAAGATGCTGCCCCTTGCACAGCTATGAGACATCAAGTTGGAGTGATTCGGGGGAATTCTGCCTCTCTGCACCACTTGTGTTCGACTGTTCGTTCTCACCAGCACCACCAATTTCCCGTTCGAATCTAGCCGCAGATGGAAGGACAGGAAAAGTCTGTTTGACTTGGAACAGACAATTCTCACGCCGGAAACTGTGACCGTCCAGAACCGCCGATCTCGCGGAAGTTAGCCGCCGGAGGCTCATCAACATGACAAACTCCCCAAAAAAAATCACACGCAAGCGGAGTGGGGCTCAGCGCCACCAGCAACCCTGAGATGGCTGAATCCGAAGTCCATCTGAGATCAGTGCCTTGGGGTCGTACTCCCAGCGGAACTTCATTGAGCGTTGTGTATCTGGCAGGACGTTTATCCCTGGGGTCGCGCCCCAATAGTTCTGATGCCAATAACGAGGGGAGAATAGTATACTTATGGCTTCTCCTTCTCCTCCAAATTTGATTCATAAAATCCAGTGCAACCACGGAGAAAATCTTCGAAGTTCCACGCGGGGTGTGGATCCCGTTCGGCTAGAGGATGAACATGAAATTGGTCCAAGCGGAATCAGGATCTGGACATGCCGGCGGCGTACGGCGGCCTGGTTGCCGAGGATTTGCGACGCTCGGCTTTCAGCGTTGAGCACTCCAAACTCCCGAGGAAAGAAAGACCTCTGCACTGGAGCGGCGCCGCGCCAACATCTCCTCTATACGGCTAGTTGGTAATTCGTAGTGGAGATATCGAACTAGCCTAACAATAGCCAACGGTAACCATAGGTCCTCATCAACTTCCTCTGCTTTCAATTATGTCCAGCCGTGGCATCGCCCAACTCCTCCTACCAAGCGGGACATGTGGTCCTGGAGCGAGCGTGGGCGGGTTGAGCCTGATTTATGGCGCTCAGAGCAAGCCTTCATCCTTGCCGTGTTATTTTCGCTCTTCTGCGGCCGGAACCTCTAGACTTATGATCGGGAGAATAGTGATCGGAAGAACGACGCTCATGAGTTGACCATGTTATGTATTCCAACGTTAGCGTGCCGTGTCGGGGGAAAGATGAAGCGGATATCGACCATTCGATACCCAGGTGGCGTGAGTATAGTATGGACCGTCCTTGGACGACGAATCTGGCCATTTGTGGCTCTGGCGCAGCTGACCCTTGGAATAGCGCCGTTACAAGTCATCAGCATTTAGTACATTGCCCCCCTGCCGGCAGAAAGACGGTATCATGGCGACCTTCGTCGCGATGGAGCTGCCCTGGAACAGCTAAATTATATCTAGGCGCCCGTCGGAGGGAGGAGGGCGAATGTGCGCGCGGGAGATCCTAATCATAGTTGGCGTATAACATGGGTTGACAAGATGCAAGGAGGGATGACAGGGTGATCAAATTGAACGAGCAATTTCAATTTGACGAATCGGCCGAACGGTGTTTGTCGAAGAATCATCTGGGCCCGCTGGAAGGCGGGAGGGGTTGTTTGGAAGGCGGCTTCAGCCCACGTCCGGTAAGAGAATCGTTGATCGGTGTCTGTGCAGTTCAAACCGGTCGAGGGGTTGTGTTCCAGAAATCGTCCAGAGGAAGAATATGTGGATCAGCAGTCTAGGAATGCTCCTAAGATCAAGGTTACACGACGAGAACCGGCGGCAATATCAGTGTCCAGTGGGAATCCATAGTGAGACGTCAGCGCCTCCTCTTTATCGTCACACCTCGGCCACTGTGCGATTGCCTTCCGATACGAGGCTAAGGCTGAGATGTCAGTGCAAATCCAGTGATGAAGAAGATCATATGATAGGCCGCTATTGTAGCACTGTGCCGAGGAGGAGGCGCTCGCAATGCGGTTCTTCTGTCATATGTGGTGCACGTATCGATAGCGCCCAGAATCGATGAGGGCGGCAGCGGCCGATGGTAATAGCAGGTATGTGGCCTGGCTGAGACTTAAGTGGCTGATAGCAAAATGGAAGCGCACCACGACTGTCGATCCTAGCCAGGCACCGGGATCGGCGCGTACCGTGTACACGCATGCGAAGAAAGAAGGCGGTCGCAGTATAGCCAGTTGGATTCGCGGGAAGCCGAGAGGTCTCTCGGCCCGGGTTAATAGCTGCGACTATGCGGAGAGGTCGAGTCGATTATAGAGTCGCCAGAGGTATTCAAGGTTAGCTTTTCGAGCACATGGCCCTGTCAGTCTATTATGACATGAGGATTCCTGACAAGCATACAGGAGCGAATGCCTGAGGATGTGTGAAAGTAGGTTAAATTGCAGGGATTTGCGGGAAGCTCCTGGTCTCGCTGATTGTTGGTGAGCTACTACGGGGTACTGGAGAAGGGGGCACGAGAGGTGTATGTACCTAAAATGTACTAATAGCACATTCGGCGAAATTAGGGGAGGTAGATATATCACCCTATCCCGCCACCATCTCCGTGCACGTTGTCAAATGAGTATTTTCAGCATGTCCATCTACGACAGAACCGCGTGTGGCGTCTGCAGGATAGGCTCCTTCCGGAGGATTGCTGAAAAGAGGGTATCGCGCGCAGATGTCGCCACTTGTGTGCGCGGCGTAGATCGGCATTGACTCAAAAGTTTGGGCCGGCGCATCACTCCAGGTATCCGCGATCTCGCGCCGTCTACACGGAAAATCGACATGTTATGAGAGAAGCCTTGACGCCACCATAAGAAGCACATCTGGGGTTCACAGTGCACCAGATGGAGAGGCCATGCGGCCATGAAGGGGCGGCAGTCGTGACAGCCATGACGCTAGGTCGCTCGTCGCGGGGTTCGTCGGTCATTGTATTAATTGATATGTTCAGGGACGATAACAATCACCAGGGAGAAAAAACCTCTTTCGGATGAAGGAAGGCCCGTGCGACGATTGACCTCGATTGACCGGATGACTGAGCGTCGAGGATCGGCGGGTGTAAGCAGGATTGCGTCCACGAGCGGCGATCTGTATCACGCCATTAGCGTCTAAATGGGTTCGCGAGGAGCCGATGCCTGCCGATGTCAAGGCGTAAAATAACGTGGTCCGGGTGCGGAACACCGACTGCCGATGGGGGTGTGTAGATGTAGACAGCGAGATGTCGAGGCTGCGGAGAGAGGAGGATTGGTTCGGCGCTAGATGTGCGGATCAGAGATAAGGATATCCATGGAGGATCGGCGGGAATCTAAACTTGGCCAGCACGATTAACATTCGATTCACGGCCAAATTGGTACTGGGAGATCGGCGGGTTGGACCGAGGTAGAATTAAATTTGGCCCGAGGGTAGGCGGTGATGCAGATACGCGACGTCCGTCGTCCGCGAAGTAGCGGGAGTAGGATCAGAGGAATGTGGTAATGTCGC